TCAGAACAAATAAAATCTCAAAAGAGCCATGGACAACTTTTTTTTTTTGGAAACAGACAAAAGAGTCCAATCAAGCGTGATCTTGCAGTGTAGAAGTGTACGCTGAGCACCACCACATCTCTGGAGTCCCTGTCACTTGCCGAGCCTGTAGACAACTCTTCCCCAAAAAGCAAACCAGAGAGGGAGGGACTATGGAACCTGACTTAGAAGGAGATCCCTGCCGCCACTCAGACAATATGCCTTATTCTTTATGTCCTGAGGGTTCTAGGACCAAGTGGCTAGCCTGTAACATGACTCAATCCCACTCTAATTCAGACAAAATGCAAGTAAGAAACAACTTCCTTGGAACAGGTGGAGCTGAGGTTACATCTCCGAGAACACATTTCTTTTTCTGCCACCCCCGGGTTTGCTGTTCTTTCTGAAGTTCTCGGCATGTTCTGACGTTCACCTTATATGAGAGGTTATAGATATTTAAAGGAATGCTCCATCACTTCAACTATGTGGGTTAGGAAAATAAGGTAAAACGAGACTGGAAAAATGATGAAGGGAATTGAGCCATAATTCCCGTAAACATAAAATGTGTGTTTATGGCCCTCTGGCCTGGATCTTTTCAGGTCCAGTTTATTTTGAGTTCTCATGAGCAAAACACAAGATACAAACTGCCCTTGCCTTTGTAATAATAAATACCTCCAAAAGATCTGTATTTTCCCTAAAAACAGACTGAAGTTTTTTTAAAAAAAATTAGTTTAAAGCAGATTGATTTTAAAAGGACTATCTCACAAGACCAAAACTTTTGCAAAGGAGTTCTCAGCTTCTCCTGAGCCCTTTGGGTCTTTTCCAGAGGAAGGGGTGGGAGTGAAGGGAAAGAGCCAAGAGACGGGTACAAAACAAATTGTTAAACCCGGTTCCGTCTGTTTAGCAGGAGGTAGATGTAATGCGCAGCACAGAGGGTACACCATGAACTACAGTGAAGACTGGACATAGAATCACAGCATTCCTTCAAACCGGGGCTGCCCACTGGGTAGGACTGGTTGCAACTCAGCACATGGCCTCGGAAAAGGAGAGGCAAGTTAGTACACCCTCACTAGGATCCCTCCTGTGGGCAGCCAGGGTGGCTAACAGCCTGCATCATCTCAGATGTTTGAGCCCTTTGAGTACTCGGGACATGTGCCCTTAGGCGGACAGCTCACCAGCATGCACACAAGTGCAGGCCCTGGGCTGACATCTAAGCTGGGAAATTCACCCTCCTCCCTTTCTTTTCCCACTGTTCTCCATCACTATCTCCCCTCCCCCGCCGCCACCACCACCGCCTGAAGGCAAAGGCCGTCTAAATTGGGGAGAGGGGGAGCAAACTTGAGATGGCATCCACTTCACAGCTTTCCAAAGCAGCAGACTAACCCAGCACCCCACTAGACCTGCAGCAAAATGGACAAAAAGGGGCTCTAGGAGAAGAAAGGGGACTCATCTGGATGTGAATTCAGAGTGGCCCTCAGCCAGGCTGGTCTCTGTGAGTCAATAACTACAGTTAAGGACATTTGTCCCCTGCCTCCGAGCTGCCTTTCTAAGGCTGTAGTCTCTGGGTCTGACTCTCCGAGCTACACGAAGCCCTAGACCCTTGCACAGCATTAATTAACTGATAATGACACTGTCAGTGAGGACTGATGCTCAGATTAGCATCTTTTACGACTTTTTTTTTTCCTGTCCCGTGTCCTCCATCTCTTTTATCACTTCCATGATATCTGGAGCCATGAAGACATTTGCCCATTTTTGGTTTCAATTAAAAGCATCAGAAGGCGGAAAGTGGCAAATTCTGATGTCTTCCACTCTGAGGCCACTCACCTCTGGTGGACATAGCACCCTAGTTCTCAGCTCAGACCTCTTCCTTTCAATTCCCAAAACTCCCTCTGGGTCTGAAAGCAATCTACCAACTTTTTCCCTGAATAGTTATCTGTTCCCAGCCTGGGTGCAACCATCTTACTTTGTCTACCTGCTTCCAAGGGGTCTATGTGTTCTTATAAACAGACTTTAAAAAAAAAAAAAAGTATCAAATGTCAGAGGATTGAACTACCAGTATTTACACATTCAGGGTTTGCCTCCCTGGTAAAAATGTAAACAGAACCCCACCACACTACCTATATTCTTTCCTTGAAGAACAAGATCTTTAAAACACTCTGCTTGTGCTAAAATCGCAGAGCTACCCAAGTTGGGGCTTGAGAGCTTCTAGCTCGCTATTTTGTTCCATGCCCGAGTGGTACTTTACCAATAAATCTGATTTCAGCTTTTCCCCATCCCCTGCTCTCTGTCTTAAAATGCTCTGCTGGGGGCATCCAGGGAAACTGACCCCTTGCCGAGGGGATGGAAAGGGCCCTGAGCGGACACTTTACTCCCACGCTGAGTTTCCCAGCCTATGCCCCTCTCTGAGTTTCTGCCCCTCTCCTACCGCCCGGCCACCGAAATATCTAAACGGTATTTCTCAATGCTGCGGCCCAGGACTGCAGTGGCTGAAGAAGCCGCCCCAATCCCCCGCAGCACAGGAGCCGGGCACCCACACCACCCCTCTCTCCATCCGCACTAACCTTGCTTTCCATCCCCAACCACAGACGGACTCCTCGGAAAGTGCCCAGCGGGAAAGGAATAGACTGTCCCTACCGAGTCCTTGGGGTGGGGCTCCCTTGGTGGGGTGGGGCTCCCTTGGCGGCCTGGGCCCTGACTCTGCCGCCTTCCAAAGTACAGTATCCAAGCTGGAGTTAAGGGTCTCTTCTGGGTGTCCCCAGCCAGGCCCGGGGGCGAGTCTCAGGCCGCCCTGCGCTTCTGTGCACTCTGCCCTGGGCTGCCTCTGATTTACGGCCCATGAGGTCCTGATTGACACCCTTTTCCACACCAAACTCCATCAGGCCGAATCGTGATCTACATATCCGTCTCCCTTTGCGACTCCCAAACAAGCCCGGAAGGGTATTTCAAGCTCCTGCCAGTGTCCGTCCCGCCCCAACCTCTTTCCAGCGCCCTCAAGACGCTCACGCCACGCGGCGCCGCGGCCCTGATGCCCTGCGCGGCCCGGTGACTCACAAGTGGAGATCCATTTTCCGTTATAATGCGTTCAAGATCCCTAAGGCCAGCAGTCTAAACATCCACGAGCCGTCCTCCCGATCTGCCTCTTAAACTGCGGTTTAATGGTTCCCCTCCGATAACTAAACCTGCTTTCCACAGATGCCCGCTTTTATGGGAGAGGCAGGAATGCAGAGATATATTTATATGTTTGTTCATAAAAACTGGAAAATAAGCTCTGAACACGCTGTAAAAAATATTCAGTTACTTACCAAACAGGCTAGTGACACCAAGGGAACACTGATACCGGCCACACCACAAATTCGGGGAATCGAGGTGCCTGCGCCTTGAAATCGCGCGAGGTCGTCCCTGGGGCTGGAGTCCCTGAAGAACATGGAAAGAAGGGTATTTACAGTCGGCTTGGCCGTTCGTCCGGTGGTCTTAGCCATGATCTTCAACAGCAGCCACGATACCCGGAGCCGCCTCCGACGGCCCGGGCCAGGGTCGCGTGGAGGGTAGGTCAAGAGACCTCGGACGCGCATTTGCAGCGTGTGCCCAGGTCGGAGCCGCAGCCTGGCCGCGCGCGCGCGCCGCCGCTCCGCCGGGACCCCGCCGCCGCCGCCTCGGCTCTCGGCCCGCACGAACCCGCGCGCCGCTGCCCGCTGATCGCCTTGCCTCGGTTCCCCACCAAAACACCTCCGAAAGAAAAGTCTGTGTCCCCTCCGCCTTTTTTCGATTTGTTTTTAACCAGAAAAGAAAGCAGAGTGATACTATACCTGGTTTGAGATTCTTCAATATTTGAGAATTGGGGGGGAAAAAATAATTTAATAGGAAAGCATCTGCTAAACACTTGCATTCACCTCTAGCTGATAAAAAAGTTTTTTTAACCCTGCCCCCCCGCGTTTTAATTATCTTATGGTTATGAAGGGGCAGCCAATCCTGGAAGGGGACTTCGACAATTAGCAACGAGAACATCAAAAAGTTTTATTGCGGAGAGCGAGAGGCACCGCCCCTGCCGCCCCGGGATTGGCGTGAGGAGCCTCTGACGACATATATTAACCCGAGCAGCCCTAAAGATGTAGCTGTACATGGAGATCGTGCTGGGAAAATCCGCTTCCTGCCCTCACCGCGTCCCGCCCGGGAGAGCCGCCGCCGCCGCCGCCGCCCGGGAGCCCCCTCGGCCACCGCGCGGACCCCGCAGAGAACCCGAGCCGCCGCCTTCGCGCCCCGAGGCGCCTGCAGGGCCCCAGATCCTCCCCCAGAAAGAAGGAGAGGATCTGAGAAAATGGATGCACTGAGACCTCTCTGAAAGCCCTCCGAGGGAGCCCGAGAGGAGTGAGGACACGTTACCCGCTGCTAAAATCACATTCAAGGACCAAAAAAACAACGACCAAAAATTTCATTAAAACAATAAGCGCCCAAGAACCCAGACCGGGCTGGTGGGGGGAGGGGAAGGGGCGGGAAGGGGAGGGTCGCACGGAGGTAGCTTCCCAGTGAGCAGTCGACCCCGCCGCCTCCCTGCAGAGCCGGGCCGGCTCCTCCACCCGCGGCTCGGACTCGCCCTGGGACTCCGAGTTAGCTTCGCTGCCGGGATCGCGGCCGCGCTGGAGCCCGGCGACTCCGCAGAGCAGCGTCGCTGGAGCCCGGGCGCCTTTGCATGAGCACGAGAGGAGTCCGCCTCCCTGCAGCTGCCCGGGAAGCAGGAGCCGGCGCGCGGGCCGGGGAGCCAGGCGGGAGCCGGCGGCGGCCGCGGCCGCGGCCGGGGGCGCACGGTGCCGGGACCAGCTCGCCGCGCCCTATGGGGAGCCGGCGGCCGCGGCGCTGCTGAGGCAGGCCCGGCGGGCCAGGCGGGGAATCGGGGCCCGGGCTGCAGCAGCCCCCTCTGCGGCTGCCGGGCCGGCCCGGGCGCCCGAGGGCTGGGGGGTGGGGGGTGGGGGAGGCCGCCCAGCGCCGAAGCGGGGGCCCCGGCCGAGGGCGCGGCGGGGCTGCGCGCACGCTGGGGCGCGTGGAGGGGCGCGGAGGGCGATATGAGTCTCGTGGGGGGCTTCCCCCACCACCCGGTGGTGCACCATGAGGGCTATCCGTTCGCCGCCGCCGCCGCCGCCGCCGCCGCCGCCGCCGCCAGCCGCTGCAGCCACGAGGAGAACCCCTACTTCCACGGCTGGCTCATCGGCCACCCCGAGATGTCGCCCCCCGACTACAGCATGGCCCTGTCCTACAGCCCCGAGTACGCCAGCGGCGCCGCCGGCCTGGACCACTCCCATTACGGGGGGGTGCCGCCGGGCGCCGGGCCCCCGGGCCTAGGGGGGCCGCGCCCGGTGAAGCGCCGGGGCACCGCTAACCGCAAGGAGCGGCGCAGGACTCAGAGCATCAACAGCGCCTTCGCCGAGCTGCGCGAGTGCATCCCCAACGTGCCCGCCGACACCAAGCTCTCCAAGATCAAGACGCTGCGCCTGGCCACCAGCTACATCGCCTACCTCATGGACCTGCTGGCCAAAGACGACCAGAATGGCGAGGCGGAGGCCTTCAAGGCGGAGATCAAGAAGACAGATGTGAAAGAAGAGAAGAGGAAGAAGGAGCTGGTCAGTACCAGGGCGGGGGCGGGGGAGGGGTGTGCAGAGGGGCTGCGGGGTTCGGGGCACCGGTGCTACCGGCCTCTTTCCAGTTGGGCTGAGCAATGACATCCCTCCTTCTCCGCCTGCATCCGAAGCCCAAGTAGTTTAAACCAGGTTATGGAAAAGGTGGTTTCCCGAAGCAGCTGAGGAGATGGGGGAGGAAGGCAGGCGGCGGCAGCAGCAGCAGGAGATTAAGAGGGATGCTCAGCGCTGGCGATCTTCCCTCCGGGTTATTGCTGTTCCCACGGGCACATCGGGCATGCCTTTCGGGACCCAGGGTCCCCATTGATCTTTCGATTGCGCGGGCCTAATCACTCCATGTCTTTTAGAGCCTTCCTTTGGCCTCCAATCCGATCTCGCTTTCAGGTATTTCTAAAATAAGTCGCCCAGAAGCGCTGGATTCCAAGTTTTTACTATGGGTCCCTTATCCCCTTCTAGACAACTAGGCCACCACTGATCCTAAGAGACTAAGGTTGTTCTCATTGCAGTGCTCAGAAGATAGAGAGGTAAACATAAATAATAAGTACTCTTAACTTCAAAATGCAGCTCCGGTTTCTCTTCGGAGACGAGGTTAAACTGTAACTGCCCAGATAAGTGTACTTCATGAGTCTTTCTTGTTTTATTCGCAAGAGCATTTGAAGACAAACAGCAAATACTAATATGGTCGTTGTTATTGTTGCTAACAGTAAGGCGGAACTACAATTGAAAAGTAGTTTTCTCCAGTTCCTACCAAGTGTTCACAGGTTGGTGGTGGTAGGAGCACGGCTATTGCCATGAAGGGCCTGGGAAATCATCCCATTTGTCTAGTTTTTCTTCTTTGGGGCCTGTGGCGCTTTAGTATGTGCATAGAGTGACCTCCGGAATAACTAGGGATTGCGGAGGCCTCGGAGGAGAGGCACTGCCGGGGGTGTTGGGGGCGGAGAGCCCTTGCAGGCAAGCCCCGGCCAGGGCAGAGGGAACTTCTCCCCATCTACCCTAGAGCGCGAATATGGGATTGCGATTGAAAACAGGGAAACCAACTTTAGCGCCGACCCCTACATCTGGAGTCAGAGAGAAGGCCCCCAGCTCCTCCATAAACTACTTGGAAACGGCTGGTTGTTTATAAGCTTGCCTATCCGGTAGTTGAGCGTTGCAGGCGCCTAGAAGGCCTGTGCGGTAGCTAGGGCTGCGCAGACCTTCGTAGCTTTTCTGCTGGGGCTAAGGCTTGAAACCATCCCCTTCTCCTCCCTTACTCATTCTCTCATTATCTCCGTGTCTCCCCGCAAAGCGCGGGGGTAGCGTGGAACCAGGTCTCCTTTCTGAATTTCTCTTTCCACTTTTCTCTCCTTCGCCTCTCCCCTGCCCAGAACGAAATCTTGAAAAGCACAGTGAGCAGCAACGACAAGAAAACCAAAGGCCGGACGGGCTGGCCGCAGCACGTCTGGGCCCTGGAGCTCAAGCAGTGAGGAGGAGGAGGAGGAGGAGAGCGCGAGTGAGCCGGGGCCCAGGAGCCGGAAGCAGACCCAGGACTCCGGGCTAGCTCTCCACGCTCTGCTCTGAGGACTTCTTGCATTTGGAATCATCCGGTTTATTTATGTGCAATTTGCCTCCCCTCTCTTTGCCCCCCTTTGAGGCATCCGCTCCCCACCTCCCCCTCCAAAAAAAGTGGATATTTGAAGAAAAGCATTCCATATTTTAATATGAAGAGGACACTCCCGTGTGGTAAGGGATCCCCGTCTTCTCGTAGATTCTCTGTGTGTGAATGTTCCCTCAAGGCTGTGTAGACACCAGCGTTGCTCCCATCCCACTTACCCAACCCTTTCCAGATAAAGACAGCAGACAGTAGTATGTATGTAAAGTGTATCTTTAATACTTGGCCTTTGGATATAAATATTCCTGGGGATTATAAAGTTTTATTTCAAAGCAGAAAACGGGGCCGCTAACATTTCGGTTGGGGTCGGTATCTAGTGCTGTCTTTTCATCTGTGGTCGTTCCCTATTCGAAGATGTTTCCAACAGCTACTTGTTTTGTGCACTTCCGTCCTCTAAAACTAAGTGGAATTTAATTAATATTGAAGGTGTAAACGTTGTAAGTATTCAATAAACCACTGTGTGTTTTTTTTACAAAAACCCCCATCTTTTAATGGTTGATACCTCAAAAGAGTTTTGAAAACAAAACTGTTATACTTGTTTTCATAATATTTAAAATATTCAGAAGTAAACTAAATTATCATGATTGCCTCTAACTTTATTTGAAAGAGTCGGTAGTTCGGGTCAGTCATCGACGTGACTCCCACCCTCCCAGGGAAGTGTCCTTGGTGAAAATCCTGCTAAAGGACCTGGTGGAAGTCCTGTCTCCGTACCTCTCCACCCTCAACCCCTAGCCCCCTGGAAAAGGTGGAGTGGTCTGTATTAGGAGGATCTGCGGCCGAGAGAGGCCTTGGCAATTCGCTGGCAAGATGGAAAGGTGTCCTTGTTTTCCTGAAATCAATCAGATGCCATTCTGTGGGGATTTTGATTTTTGTTTGGGGAGCACCTTTTAGATGGAGGAGGTTTGAGGAAGATCCCAGGCGTTATTGCAGCCACAGGAAACAGTCTAGAGTTTGAATTCAAAATAGAGGGCTTTCATCCAGGAAAAGAAAAAGAGGGGAAAAGAGGTTTTTGCTTGTAGTCTTCATCAAGGGGATTGTCCTCTGAGCCGGCCAGGGGAGGGGAAGAGCTTTCGGGAAAAGGTGCATGATTAGGTAACAAGGAATTTTACGTCAAGTAAGAAATCGCGAACACGACTTTAAAGGGGGGTGGGAGGGGGGGGGCTAGATTTACAAGGAGCTACAGGGAACTCAATATTAACTGTGCAGTGTCTGAAGTCTTCCCAGCCGCAGGCCAGCAGAGCATGGGGCTCCCTCGGCTACCCGCCGCAGCCGCAGGGGACTTTACCCTGTCTGAGGTTTGGTCTCCCGGAGTCCCAGCACATCCCAAAAGGAAGTCCCTGAGGCCTTCTTTGCCTGTAGTCCCGGCTGGAGCCAGAATCTCTGCTCTAGGAACCCGAGAAACTGAAGTGCCATAAAGGACTCTGCAGGCCGGGGAGGGGAGGAAGGAGGGGAGAGATGCCATGGGGGGGGGGGTGGAGAAAGGTGAAACGTATTAAAAAGCGGTTTGTTTCATGAAACACCACGTATATAAATCTGGTGTTAGGGAGGCTTGCCAGAAGGTTTTCATCTTGGAACCCATCCTCAGGGTGATGTTCGCACCTTGGCTCCAGGCACAGACCCTCCCCCAATATCCCAGAGGTTCCCAGGGCTCGCGGGTACCCACTCTGAGCCGGCCGCCTGCAGCGGGGAAATTCGCAAGTGCTGGGGGCGAGAAGAGCAAGTGGCTCTGCGGGTTCCTTCTGCGGGCAGCTGACAACGCGAGGGCGAGGGGTTAGAACAACTCGGCCAAAGCGATCTGAACTTTCTCCCCTCGGGTCAGGCGGCGCTGGGCCGATGTGGTGGGCGCGGGCTGTGTTTACAGACACTTGCCTTTGTTTATAGCACTGGGGGGGGGGGCATAGGGAAGCGCGCCCTGATTTTCTATTACTCTCGGGATTCCTGTCGGTTTGACTGAGTGGCTCTCTCCCTTTCCTGTCTCCAGCGGCCTTTTGCATCTTTACTTTAATCCGAGAGAGAGAGAGAGAGACTTCAACATCCCAGAGGTGGAAGACTAGACTTTACCAAAATAGTGGATGAGTAGTGGTGGAGATGGTGAGGTTTTTAAAACACGAACTAGAGAGGAGTTCTCTTCAACTCCCCGTGTTCCCGCGCTGGCCTTGGGTAGCTGCTCTTCTTTACCATCTGGGCCTGGAGGCACTTTTGCTGCTCTAACGCTTTTTCTGGTTTATTGAACACCAGCAGAGGAGATCCAGAAGACCCTGGCAGCAGCATCGCTATGGGGCAGCTTGCTGCTACACATGCTTTAAAACCCGCGCTGCTGAAATCCGTCCTCTTTGTCTGGCCGGGGCCAGGCGCTGCCCGCCTCCTCTCCCGCCTGCCGCACAGCCTCGTCTGGCCCAGCAGCACCGGCCCCGACACCTCAACCATCTCGATGTTCCAACCTGTGGGAAATCCCAACCGGCCAGACATCCAGCAGACCCAACCCCCCAGGGGACCGAACCCCTAACTGGATGCACACCCTAAGTGTCAAGACAACCCAGATTGTCCGTCTCGACAGTCACCCAGGACATCCCAACCTGCCCAAAGCACCCCGCCACCCAACATCCCTACCCCACCTTGTCAAGTACCGGGAAGTGAGTGCTATGCTGGACGGGCATTTCTTCTGAGCTTCCATGCTTCTCTCTTCTACACATTTATTTCTTTTAACTCCCTTTCTTCTTTGCTTAAAAAAAATGTTTCCAACCTCTTGCCTTGCAGAATCGGCTAAAAGGCCTCTGTTTTAATTGCTCGGATAATGTGGTTGCTGCCATTTTGTTAAAAGCAATCACTCCTGCAGCGAAATCACAAGCTCTCTAGACAGGCCGGAGCCGACAAAAATGCAGGATTTGACGTTAAAAGCTAAATGGGAAGCTGGGGCGGCGGAAGGTAAATTGATGGTAGATCTGGCTGTCAGGGGCCGGCCCCAGACCGACTCGCAGGCCGAGGGCCTGATAACCCTGGAGCCCTGGTGGGGAGAGGGCTCGCCTGCTGTGTGTGTGTGTGTGTGTGTGTGTGTGCGCGCGCGCGCGCGCGCGCGCGCGCGCGTTTGTGTTCCTACAGACCCCTTCTCAACTTCTTGGGAAGTAACCTGGAAAACTCAACAGAGTGGGACCTAAGCACACTCCTTGCTCCCCATCACATTTTTCCAGGACTTGCAGCCCCCCAGCTGGGACACTAAGGACATCTTTAAGAGCTTTTTTTCAGGTCGAAATTATGAAAAGGAGACAGCAACATCACTTGGGGTTCTTCCTGCCTTCTAAATCCCGGCGGCCCCTATAGGGGCTTGGTGGGAAGCTCTAGAGTGGGAGTGGGTTAGCCATTAGGTCTGGGCACCTGGGGAGGGTGGACCTCCTAGGCCGCCCACTTCAGGACCAAGTGGTCTGGTCAGATGAGGTGGGTGCAGCCGTGGCGCCAGAGAGGGTAGCAAGTGTGCGTGACTCCGGGTGGAGGGTGTCTCGACCAATTCTCCCTCACCTATGCCTCTACTGGCCGCTGCCCGCTGCTGGCGAGGGTCACAGAGCTGGTATCCCGCCGGTTGATAAGGAAGATGGAGGGGGAGTTGTTTGCGGATTTCGCAGGAAGGGGTGCCTAGGGTGAGAGTGAGCTCAAAATCAAAGCCACAGGGATCGAAAGGAGGCCTGTGAGCTACTTCCGAGACTTTAGTTTTGCAGAGAGAACCCCAGCCAGTTGCAATGGCTTGGGGTGTGCGTGCAGGCTACGCTGCACCGGTCAAAGGATGCCACAATAGCCAGCCAGAACTGCATTTGCACCGCGGGTCTACAAAGCGCGGGAAACCTCTCAACGATTCCTGTAGCTTTAAAGAAATGCTGTGTCTAACACTGCACGTGCGGATCGCAATTTTCTCTTCCACAGCCGCCTTTCGTTCTCTCTGCGCGCGAGTCCCACCCACGCGCCTGGATTTGGAAAAGGAACTGGTGGTAGATGCCAAGCAGGGATGATCTGCAAAGGAGGCTTACGGCTTACGCCTCGTAGAGAGCTGAGTCTGGACCCTGGGCCTTGCTGGTCTTTTCTGCATCTGTTGACCTGAGGAAACCCATTCCTTCCACGCAGCCCAACACCTACGGTGCATACCCCAGCGCGAGGAGGAGGCACTAACGAGTCTCCACGACGCACTGGATTCCTGGCCTGTGGCAACCCGTGGATCTCTCGGAGAGAAAGACCTTCGAGCCGCCCTCGGCCTGGGACCCGAGACCTCGGCTCGAGACCCCAGGGTCTCCCCCTTCCTGGGCAAGCTCAGCCCTGGTGTAGGGTTTATGTGTCCAGGGTGGCGGGGAGGGGAGGTGGGGAGGTGGGAAAGAGAAGTATTCTTTTAACTGTTTAGAAAGGGGAGGAGGGGAGAGGGGGTAACTCCAGGAGAGGAAACGAATCGCACATCCGGGGGCCGGACAGCAGCTCGGAGCGCGCAGCCTCCGGCCCCACGCGTACTTCCCGCACAGCTACTGTCTGCCGGCTTCTAATTGGCCTCTAACAACTCAGCGGCTTCGGCCAGTCAGGCTCGTGGAAGTTACAGTGCACTGTATCTGACTTACACGCGCACAGAAGTTCGACTTCTCTCCCTGTTCTCGCTCCACCCTGCCCAAGTCAGTTTCCTTCGAGGATCCCGTCCCCCGCCTCTCCCCCAAACGTGACCCCCCTACACACACATTCCCTTCAAATTCTCCCGGCATTTGGGCCGCTTTGATGATCAGATGGTAGAGCCCTGATTACAAATTTATTCCCGGCCGCTCCGTGCGTCTTTATCTCCGCTATTAGGGACATCTGGGAGTGATTAGCGCCGCGCCCGCGCCCGGCCGCGCTGCCTATCTCGCCGCGGCGGGGCCGGAGCCTCGCTGACGTCAGGGCAGACGGCTCGGAGCCATCCCAGCCGAGCTGGGTGTAATCGGCGGCCGCGCGGCCAAGTCCTCCCCGGGCCAGGCCGGCAGCTGGAACGCGCCGCCTGCTTGCGCACAGGGACTTTCTAAATATGTATTTTTAGCCCAGAAGACGTTTTTGTTTTTGCTGTTTGAGGTGAGGAGGGGGCCAGTTAACGTTTCTATTGGCCCCCTCCTCACTATAAATTTTCCAACTCGCTGCGCCTGGTGCCTTCAGCCTGGAAAAGCCTCCCACAGCGGACCCTGACCTGCGGGCGCTCCTCTCTCCCTGCACCGGGGTGCTGCTCTCCTACACCAACAGCCGCGGCCAGCGCCGCGGTGCCCGTGCAGGCAAAAGGCAAGAGAGGCGGCTCTTAGGGGCTGCCCTTTGCGCACTGGTACCCGTTGGGCCCCACAGGCCTCCGGCCAAAATAGTAGGAGTGTCTGCCTCTTGAGGTGTCTGGGCAGACGCTAACTACAAAGCAGGCCACCTCTCCGAACCTCTGTCTCGGCACCTGCTATTAAAGTCCAGTGGATCCAAAGAACAGAGATTCTAGACTTTCTTCAGTCTAGCCTCCCGCTTTCCCCAGTGCGAGCGGTCCTTGGCAGAAACGATGACTGGCAGCAGCTTGTCTCCTA